GTTTCCATTATGCACTCATTATAGGGCGCCAATAAATATTGTGAATGCAAAGTCAATCAAACAGTCCTCGTTACACGTGAGAAAGCCTCTGAAATGGCATGGTTATGTCTGGCCTTTTCTTTGTCTCTACGCCGTGTGGTTATACGTATACTTGTTTGCGTATGACGAATATATCGTGTCCGAGGAGTGGACATTTTTAACTCTCGGAAGCCTGCTGACAACAAATGCGCTGATATTTTTGAGCTGTCAGTGGAGCATAAGAGTGAAAGTATTCTTTACTTGCAAAAACGTGTGCATTATTTATTTTTTATTGTGAAACAATTCTTTGCATTATCAGAATCTAATCGTCTTTTGGCTTTCTAAATCGAAGCAAAACGATATTAACAAAGCGAAAGTCATAAAAATAATTCCTGCACCGCATAAAGGCAAAGGCGAATTATGTGATCTACATCACGCGAAGGTTTGCTTTAATGAAATCACTTTGTGCATTGAAATAAAACCAATTAATATTTCTTTCTTTATGTATTCAAGAACGGAGAAATATCATTTTTATACCAGAGGAAAAAGTACATATGGAATAATGACAAAAAAGTTTTCATAAAGATACACTATCCGTGTGATTTTAAGCCTCAAATTTCAACATTTCAAAACGCAAAAGGTTTTGAAACTCCTAACGAAATTAAATTGGCCCAAGAGACCTATGGTCATAATAGGTATCTACAATGAATTTTTCTATTGCTGCTAATCCAATCCATCATCGTAAAACTCATGTTTCATTTTAGGTTTGACATTCCTGTACCGACCTTTCGTGAATTGTTTAAAGAGCACGCAGTAGCACCCTTCTTCGTATTTCAACTTTTCTGCGTCGGTCTATGGGTTATGGATGAGTATTGGTATTACTCGGTATTCACATTATTCATGCTCGTGGTATTTGAATCAACTGTCGTCTTTCAGGTAAAGACTAGGTTTGGTCCTTTTCTAAACATTCGTGACATTTTTGACTAAATTTAAAACTTGTCCATTTTCAGAGATTAAAAACTTTAGCAGAGTTTCGGACGATGTCAATTAAACCATACATGGTTAATGTCCGAAGAAATAATCGATGGGTTAACATCTACTCTGATGAACTTCTGCCCGGAGACTTGGTGTCCATAGGTGAATCAAAGTAATGAGTTTTGGTCTTAATGCAAGTTCGCTCACTAATCAATCATCGCTTACGTTTAGTTCGCACCAAGGAAGATAGCGGTGTTCCCTGCGACATGGTACTTGTACACGGTGGTTGTATAGTAAATGAAGCCATGTTATCCGGAGAATCGACACCGCTCCTGAAGGCATATATAATCATATAATGAATTTCGTTTCTGATATTAATACAGCGTGTTACCAATAAGTCAACTTTTGATTCAATTGCAGGAATCAATCATTCTTCGTGATGGAAATGACCACCTCGATATGAATGACACAGATAAAAATAGCATCATATTTGGTGGTACTAAAGTTTTACAAGTCACTCCACCTCCGAAAGAGGATTCGCTCTCTGGTGAGTTCATCGACTCGCTGATAAAATCTAAACCTAAAATTGCGTTTTACTTATATATGGAAGACATTTCTATACAGCTCCTGACAACGGATGTATCGCTTACGTTATCCGTACCGGTTTCGGAACCACTCAAGGCAAACTTGTTCGTACAATGGTGTATAGTACTGAACACGTTTCAGCAAATAATTTTGAATCCTTCCTCTTCATTCTATTCTTATTGATATTTGCCATTTCAGCCGCATCATATGTTTGGATTAAGGGTAAATTTTATTAAACACCTTACTTTACCCTTCATTTTTTTTTTTTTTAAAAAAAAAAGATATTAAGAAATTGTTTACTTTATTGAATCGTCATAGGTGTTGAAAATAATCGAAAAAAGTCGAAACTTTTACTCGATTGCATATTAATTATTACATCTGTTGTGCCACCAGAGTTGCCAATGGAATTATCCTTGGCTGTCAATACATCACTGGTTGCATTGTCGAAATTCGGTGAGGATTAATTGCTTTGAATAAAATTGTTTTTAAATCAAAACCTAAATATTATAATTGACCACGTTCTTCAATAAATTTAGCAATCTATTGTACCGAACCATTCAGAATTCCTTTCGCCGGGAAGATCGATGTATGCGCATTTGATAAAACTGGTACCCTTACCGGGGAAAATCTTGTTGTTGAAGGAATTGCTGGTATTCAGTAAGTTTTATATTAATTGCTATTCCCTTTTCCAATAGTCAATTTTCGGCAGACATATAATTTATAATTCTCAGCCCAGAAGGTTCCAAGTCATTGGTGAAGCCTGTAGATGCACTTCGCGAGACGATTCAAACCCTTGCGACAGCACATGCTTTGGTAAAATTGGAAGATGACGTCGTTGGTGATCCCATGGAAAAATCCACTTTAGAAGCTTT